TTTAATTGATAATTCTCATGTAAAATAAAGTCAAACGAATACCAAAAAATACTTTTATTTTAATATTTTCCACGTGAAAAATTATATCAATCAAACGCAATAATTTACAATTTTCAGGAAAATAAATTTTAAGCAATTCAATTCCCTAGAATTCGTTTTCAATTTAATTTAATTTCATCTTTGCAATTAAACGGACTTTAGGAAAAGTTTTAAATGATAAGTAAAGTTACAAGAATGAATGTATAGATTTAATTAAGAAAAAAAATCGTAGAAATTACTTGTTCTATTCCTTTATTTTTAATTTTAAAGTTGGTTAAAGTGTCATGCAATCATTATGTCCTTATTTGAGCCCCATTTTGTTAAAGAAAATGAATTTTTGAACAGTGTATTGATGAGAAATGTGTGGTTAAAAAATAAAGAAAAAATTTGGATTTATGTGTAATATTATTTTATTGAAGAATTTGTGATTGAAATGATGTCGAAACACTGTTTAAGCATGTATTTTTTGAAAAAAAAAAAAAAAAGGGCTCAAACAAGGACTGTATTGTTTTTCCTTGGTGAAAAAGTAAAAGAATATGATAAATTATAAACTTTATTCGATAAATAGGAAATTGTTTATTTATTAAGCCATTTTGATTTTAATAATAGATTTCATAGTATCCATAACTTTTTAATTACACAATTCATCAATTTTTATCAAAATATACTAATATCTTATTTTTAGCTTCACCAATTAGTACTTAAAAGGTGTTTGAGCCACATTATTTTGGTAATAATGCATTCTTAAATAGTGTATTGATGAGAAAATGTGGTTAAAAAGTAAGGAAAATTTTTTGATCTGCGTGTAATATTATTTTATTGAAAAATGTGTGATTGAAATGATATCAAATCACTGCTTAAGAGTGTATTTTTTTGAAATAATATGGTTCAAACACCCCCTTAATCTTTAAAATTTCTTCAGGTTCATATGAAGGGCCCAATCCACTCATTCATAATCGATCACTGTCGATTGCTCAATTTAATCTTTTCTACTTCTTCCTCCATTTAATTCAATACAATATTAGCTTTAACGATAGCAATCGACATAATATAGTAATCAATTCATTGTCAACTTTTGCAATGAACAAACCAATTATCAGTCGATCAAGTAATTAAAAGATATATAAGATCAATTGTGTACGTTACATAAAAATTTATGTGTTTGTAATCAACAATAACGTAAAGCACAAAAAAAAAAAAAATAAATAAAAATTCAACCCTTGAAATTTATTTTGCAAATAACTTAAAAATTCCATGTGAATAATCACTAGGGCCTCTCTTTGAGATTTTTTTTTTTTTGGGAATATGTTTTGGAATAATGATTTTTTTAAGAATATGTGGTTAAAAAATAAGAAAAAAATTGAATTTACGTGTAAAATATTTTTTTAGAGAATGTGTAATTGAAAATGAGTTTTAGAAAAATGTGGATAAAAACACGATGAAAATAGTAGAAAATATTTAAATAGAAATGTTCCCCGAATTATGTTAGACTGACAAAGATTTGAAAGTCTCAAAGTGACAAGGTTCAGGACTACCTCACAAAATGGGATTTTGTCCAATCGACCGTGCTAGTTGTACAGAAGGGGTTTTACATCCTTCTTGACAGAGTAGACACAAGACGGGGTGGGGGCCTCAATTTTTTGCATTTTTTATTCATGTGGGGTCGGCTCGGGTCACACGCGAATGTGAATATCTGTCATCCAACATGTCAAGCATTTTCTGGTATAAGAGCTTTATTCTTGTCCAATTCCTATTCTACACGAGATATACAAAGTAAGATAACTCTCTGCTTTGTTTTGCATGTTGAGAATTAAATAGACATGTAAAATAATAATAATAATAATAATAATAATAATAATAAAAATAAATTTTTATTAAATTTTTATGCAAAATCAACTTTTTTGCTAGTAACATATATAGACTTTGACTTGGACTAAGCCTATTAGTCTAATTCTCATTTATATAAAAATAAGAATGAAAAATATAGTCGTTACGGGCCCCACACAAGATATAGAATTTCAAATATGGTGGCTTGATGTGATGGATAACAGTCATATTTTTTATTTTAATATGGAAAGATTGAAAAATAAATGGAGGCTTAAGCTCGTTACTCTGCATCATTTGTTCGTTGAAAATTTCAAGGGTCTGATGTCGCAATAATAATATAAAAGTAAATCGAGTATTGTATGTTGTTATCTATTAACCTAATTAAATCTATTAATTACTTGATTTAGTGTGAAAATTTAAGAGGGAATGGTCTTTGCTGAACTATGTGATCGACAAATGAAGATTTTGAGAAAACTTGACAATTTAAAAGCGTTATGATTACGAATTCATCATGGTAATTATGTTTAACTTCGTCTACCGAGCTACGACAATTTATTTTAGTTACGTTGATGTTAGAATTATCTGAATTATTTGATAATCTTTCTTAAATAAAATAAATCCAATATATATCTTTGTGAATTTTAACATATCCAAATGCATTCAAGAACAAGAAATTCCAATCAAAGTCGCACAATTGTAGAAGCATATCTCTATCTCCTTCGTAAATTCTTGATTTTTACCATTAGAGCTAAACTATTGTTTCACTTGGTTTTGACACAAATCCACAAACAAACCATGAATTCGCCATATTCATGGAAATGCATTTAATCCACAATAAAATATTTAGTACAAAATTATAATTAGAGTCATTGCTCTGAAACAAAAATTAAACAAATTAACTGAGTTTTCTTGCTCTTCCCAACAATTTTAAAATTTAACTACTCATCATAAAGTTAAAAAACACCAAAAAAATATTTGAAGTTAATTACATCACAAAAATAATGTAAAGAAAAGAAAGATGTTGAAACACCCTCCTCGTAGCTTGTTGCCTAAAGTCCAATCTTCGTCTTGAAGTAATCTTCCTCAACCTTCAAATGCAGAATCCCAGATTTGAACTTGTTTGGAACTCAAAATTTGATGTGAATGTATGTGTTTTAGTTTCCAAGGTTGCCTATCTTTTTATGTCTCTAACTTTTGGTATTCATTGGTCCAAATGTCCTTCATAATTCATGCATTAGGAGTTCCCAAAGTATCCCAAAAGTAGCAAAAATCGTGTCCCATTCGGACAAAAAATTATACGCACCAGCCCACAGATGGCTTGGCTGCTCCACTTTCTTTTCAAAACTATAATGCCATGGTTGGTGCAGTTGCGCCACTCTCTTGTGCAGTTTAAATCGTTTCCTAGAAAAATTTCCGATCCCTTTGCTT